GTCTTTTCGGTTCTTCAAAGGGCCCCATTCCCGATGATTTTTGGCCTCTAATGACAAGTAACAATGGCTTGCCGCCGGCGTACCAAAGCCTAAGTCGTTTTTGATAAAAATTTATTCAGGTGTTCAAAAATTAGGTCTCCCGCGTTTGGGTGCAAACGCCGTGGCGGAACCTTGAACAGGTGTTTTTTGCAGCTTCTCCACACACCAGCTGATTTCCCCGAGCCCGATGGGCTTTGCATTGGAAAATAACTCTCAGCATGGAAACGGACGGCCTGATTAGCGGCAATGTAGGCCCAATGTGGAAAATTAGGTGTTCTGTTGGAAGGCACTAGCAATCGATAGAATTGACTTGCCATGGCCAGTTTTGCGTAACCAGCTTGTTTTTTGAACACTTGTACAAAGTAGGCTTTGGCTCCGAACCGTAGCATTCTCGCTTAGCGAGCTGTCACTTTGTTTTAGGCAAGTGGAGAGACCCCACCCCCACAGGGTGTTTTGAAAAATACTGAGGCTTGGGGTAGTGGAAGTGTTGATCCGCAAGTACTGTAGAATGGTTGTTTTCCTGTGAATGGTGGGTTTTGGGTCGGACAATGGCGTAGTGGATGCAAGGCGATTAGGGGATTGTTGGAGCGTTTTGAATGGTTATGGTAGGCAGTGAAGCACGTTGCAGTTTGCAATAAAGCGGTGCATTAGAGGCTGGGAGACCATTTTGGAAGGTCGTTCAGGCGGTCCACGTAGGCGGTCCAATTGTTAAGGTTTCAATGATTTTTTTGTTTAGGCTTTTGGGTTTGGCTTTGTGGTCTTGGAAACCGTTCAGGGCTGAGGTGGCTGTATGGTGAAAAGTTCTTTGATAGCGAAGGCTGTGAACTCTATGGATGAGATGGTTGGCTATAACGATGCAATTTTTCGGAAACTGTATTTTTCAGAAGTCTAAAAGCTTCCTTACTTCTGGTGAGGTAGTGATAGGTAGTGAATTCGATCAAAGGACATCCTTCTGAGATACTTTTGGCAAGGCTCTTAAAAGGTGCAAAGCAAAGAACATGCATCCTAGATAGCACTTAAAACTATTTGAAGAGCAGAAGACCCGAATGTCCAGCCTTATCGTCTTATGCAAATGGATTTGGGCGTCCTCGTCTAACAGTACTTAGACGCCAATGCAATGTCACTGCAAAGATTTCTAATAAGACAATATTACGAGCCTCGGTAATCCGAGAAATGATGCTGGATCTCAGACGGCGCATCTTTGTCCATCCAGCGTTATCAAAAAACTCTATTTAAACTTTCACCAATTGCATCCGGTTACCATTAGCGAGACTGCAACACACCGATGCATCCAGCCTTTCCAACATCTTATTACATTTCTCACTGACGATGACAATTTTTTTACGTCTTTCATGAAATTGCCTTCTTTTAATTTTCCTTCCAGCCAACTCTCTTATATTGTTTTGCTACTCCCCCCTCATTGTCTCGGTATCCTCGGTGACCGCAAACCTACCCTACCCACTCTTTCCGTACCCCTCACTCCGAAGCGCCACTATAAAAGTAACAAAAGACCCAGAAAAATCACCTTTATCCCCTAGACCACATAATTAAAAAATCACATCAAAGGTACCACCTTAACTTCTGACCAGTCGGCTCGAGATAGCCGGACCTGCACACTGCATGGAAAATATCGCTTACCAATTTCGAGCTCCATTGGCTCACCTTACAACGTTATATGGTCCAGTTCATCAAGGCGTCCAACCTGTACGACTTCAACTTCGCCACGGCGTCGTATGCGTACATGAACAAGTACCCCAACCCGTTTGCCAAGCACGTGCAGAGCTCAGACACCTTGGAGCAGTACGTGGATGATTCGGGGATGCTCCGAACAACGAAGCTAGTTGTCAAGAGGGGCCTGTTGCCCTTGTTCATCCAGCCCTTTTTGGGCTCGTCCTTGGACTCGTGGATCATGGAGAAAACCGTCATTGACCCCAAGTCCGGCATCATGTGGGCATACTGTTCGAATGTCGACCACAGGAAATTCATCAAGGTCGAGGAGTATCTCCACTACACCAGTGAAGGACCACGTACACACATTGAAAGCAAGGTGAAGCTTTCGAGCAACTTTGCGGGCATGAAGGAGAGGATCGAGATGTGGGGCCACCGCCGGTTCCAGAAGAACATGTCCCAATCACAGGAAGGACTCAAGTACGTGATGAACAAGTTCAAGCAGCGCATGCGTCAGGAGGCATGGAAGATATAGCTGGCTCAGGCAGTCGGCTCTGGGTTTGTACATAGCAGTAACGAGACATGATATGGGAGATGTGTAGGAAGGCTTAGGTGGGTAGGTATTAGGTTTTTGAGGAAGAGGGAGGAGAGGATGATTTGAGTGGGATGAAGTAGGATTTTTGGTGACATTGGCTGGATTAAGTAGGCTTTATTGGTTGGGGAACCGAGGAGATTGACGATGTGATTTAGCCGCTGATGTTCCAGGAATATAGGAGTGGTTGCAGGTGTTAGAGTTTGTATTGAAAGGTGGTGAGGTGGAGAAGGTATAATTCAGCTTACATCGGTGAAGAGCTATTTTATTGAATTTTACTGATGATAATGCCGGAGTCTTGGAAATGACTGAACTGCTTGGTACACTTCAAATGGGTGTATCTTGAGTACGCTTCTCAGTGCAATACCTATACTTCCAAAATCGACCACTTTCAATTCCATCCTTCTTTTTTAGTTTTGTTATGATTTCACTTCCTCACCTCCAACGCATCCACTCATCATCTGATTTCATCTTTTTTTGAAAAATTACCGTTATTGGCCAAATCGATCCGCTTTCTCCCTCCGTATTGGATACATGCCACCGTTTTTGAGACACTGTGATGCAGCAACCAAGGGCAAATTTCCAGCACTGACCAAAATCTCCAAAATCTTCACCAATTCCTCCAAAACCTCATTCCACGTAATCCACAAAAATTAAATCATCATCACACGATGGCCTCGGCACCTCCCGAGAATAGGCCAATCCGACCGCAACCGAGATTCGCAGCCGAGGCACCAGGAACTAACCGTCAAACAAAGCAACTGCAAATTTCAAATTACCAAATTACCAAGTCACCAAATCGTCATCTACATTTATTATTTTAAGCTAACCTTCCACTCTCTTTTCACATTTTCCTTGCAACCCCTGACCAAGTAGCTGAATTCACCTTATCGTGCCTTATCGCACAGTCCTACAGCTAACAACCACTACTACTTCTGCTCCATCCACCTTTCCATAAACCCAGGCGCCATGTCGGAAAAAGAAAGGCGGCTCCTGCCCTTTGCGTCCGTCGACTCCCCCTGGTACAGAAGAAAGTCGCTGCTTTCCGAAACCATGATCCGTGACGAAATACCGTCCATCTACGAGAGCCACAGCTTCTTCCCTGACTCCTCCTCATACACCATCATCTCCTTGAAACAGGGGCAAGGGTTTTTGTTCAACCAGGACTTGTTTGCCACGCCGTACCAGCAGCTGCGGGCGTTGGCCAATGAGAGAAGAGCTGCCAATGAACGGAAGTTCCGGGCTATGAGTATGTCTCAGGCGGTCAGGAACAAGAAGGAGGCACAGCGAAGGCACACGAGTCACGAGCTACGCCCGGTGATCCACCAGCCCGTGGGGAAGTTCGATTCTGCTATTGAGGACGACTCGATGGATGTGGAATCGGAGGAGAATGAGCTGGATCTGGACGACCTGGCCATTATAGACGAGTACGAGGAAGACGTTGCAGGCGACGTCGAGGGGTTTCTGGCGTACGAGCGGGTGAAGGTTGCCGATGTGATTGTGGATCCCAACGATACGAGTTTCCTTCCGACCGAGGCGGACAAGTTGGTGGAGGTTGAGGAGGACGACGACGAGGAAGACGATGGGTTTGACGAGTACGAGGAGGACCGGGAGGACGAAAAGTGCCCCATGCTGGAGGACGATGAGGAGTAGGGGGGAATTAGGAGGGTTATGGAAGGCAGGTAGCAGGTTTTTCTGAAGGTGATATTCAGGGGCCAACTCGGGAGGAGTGTTTCCAGGCGCTTTGAAAGCATTCTGACTTGAATTGGGTAAGCGGCGTTCTGGAAAATGTGGGTGGCTAGCTTTTGACATTGATATCATCCAAAAGCCGTGACCTTCGTGCAATTTTCACTACCATTGCAACTCCTTCGATAGATTATCTCCAGGTACTTGCTCTGAATTGACAAGAAATAGTCCAAGCTTGATTGAATCCACCTTGAGTTCTGTGGGCTTCTTATTGGGCACCTGCTATGGGCTCCTTTCAGTCTCCTGGACATCAACAGTAATACCCAGCAACTATCTTCATCGTCACTCCAGCCCCCTTTCAAACCACCAACATCTGATGACGACGAATATCCCCCAATGAGAACCGAAACCTGCCACACTACCCAAATCTTGTATTTAGCCACCACTGTTGAACCAATTGATACCTTTTACGTACCCATCCATAACCTCAATTATATTTCTACTATCATCGGAATCATTACGAATTCTGTGATTTTCTTCATCTTTTATTTATTTTTTTCTTTTACGGCATAATGTATTTACACGGTGCTAACGTTTCCTTCCTTCTGGTCCGGAGGTACCTCTCGAGTGGTGCGATCGCGCATCGCCAACTTTCAACTACACCATGGCATCGGTAGCAGAGCAGTTTGAGAAACTCCTGTTGGATTTCACCCAATCACAGACCCAGCTCCAGGAGCTCAGTGCGGCCCGTTCGCAGCTCGAGACTCAGCTCCAGGAAAACAAGATTGTCCTTGAGGAATTCGGCGATTTGGACGAGAGCGCCCAGATTTACAAGTTGACGGGCCCAGTGCTCATGCCACAGGACTTTGCCGAGGCCAAGCTCAACGTGAGCAAGAGAATCGAGTTCATCGAGGGCGAGATCCGCCGCGTGGAGGAGAAGTTGGAGAAGCAGCAGCAGCACATGGAGGAGACTCGTGGCAAGCTCCTACAGACCAAGACGCAAATGGCGTAAAACTCAACCGCGGGCAAGCTGCGAGCGGATAAGGTTGAGCAAGGAGACGGCGTTGAAAAAAGACCACTGCTCCACGGCGTTGTAAGAGTCGCCCATGAAGCGGACCGCCTGGATGTTGCGATCGACAAAGCTGTTGGTGGAGTCAAACGGAGGTGTGTCCAGGAGCATGTAGAGCTCCAGCTTGACGTATATAGACGAAAGAAGAAGGCGCTTGGCGTACCAAGCCAGGTCGTTGGACATGTCGCCGGCGTAGTAGGCAATGTCGTCGCTCAAGGCGTGGAGTTCAGCCAACGAGGCGCTCCAGTTGTATGGAAGCACGAGCTGCGAGAGACCCGAAGCCAACTGGCCCACCACGGGCTGGTTGTATGAAAGACGCTCTTTCAAGAGGTACGCGGCTCTGTCGAACTCGTCGGGGATCTTGTGGAACTCCAGCTGGGGATCAAGCACATGCTCGTAGAGTTTCTGTCTTTGGTGTTTCAACCAGAAAAGCGTGAGCTGGAGCTCTGGCGACTCGTTCAGCGGATTAGCGGCAATGACGCTTTGAAGCGAGTCGGCGTAGCCAAGGTCCCGCACGGCGTCGTCAATACACTGTTTGTGGAAACCGTACTTGGGAAGGTAGTCCAAGGCTTTGGTAAGGAGGATCAGTTCTGGAGCCTTGTTGTTGATAAGGATGTTTGGGTGCAGGGCGGAGTGGTACTTAGCCACACTGAGGCGGTTTCCGAAACGAGAGCCGACGCGGAGGCTTCTGAGGGTGCTTTGCATTGTGGTGATGTGGTAGGTGTTGATGGAGATATGAGCTGATTTCGCGCGCAGTAGGTGTGAAGATGGAGGTGGGGTGGGGTGGGAGAATAAGGTCTTTTTTGACGATTTATGACGATTTAGGGTAAGGTTGTTTTGTGTTGAGTGAATGGAATTGTGAATTGGGGGTTTTGGAGGGGAGCCGGTCATGGTGGATGGGCATTGGTGGACCCTGTAATGGAGGGTATGGTAGATTGAAGGGTTATACGACGGGGCGGTCGGAATGGTATGCACAGCGTTTTCTCGAGGTATTTTGGAAGGCCAGAGTTTTAAAGTTGGAAAATTGAAGAAAAGATTGGTATTTTGGTCGAATTTGGTGGTTTTCGGTGGCTGACAGAAATGGTTGCAAAATGCGAACTGCACCAGAATAGCCGCTCTCGGCTTTGGTTAAGGTGTTTCAGTGGTGTGGGTTGAAGGTTTGGAAGATTGTGTTTATTCTGTTCGTAAGCGTCGTTTTCTTAGTTGTGCTGACTATATGTGAGAAGAGTCGTGAAACCTGGTGATCAGTGGGTCTCACACGGTGTGGACAATTCGATAGAGCTGTAGTTCTTCAATACTGATGATGCTTGAGTTCGTTCATCGACTAGATGGATTTTGTAATTATTGCTAGACATGTCTTCTTGATGGAAAAGACCGGTGAGCGAAGCTGAGTAGTTCGATCAACGAGGGGCTTGGTGATCTCTCTATGGTTTACCACGAATTTGCAGCCAGATCCATTTACACACTGACTGACCGTAAAGGCAATATCTGTTGGCCAAATTGATCCACATAATGGAATTTCTAATTCATTAAACTGTTGACTTGAGTATTTCAATGAAAAGCGGGTGTTGGCTAGGGCTCTCATGTTGAGGTACAAACGTATATGGTTCTCAACCACCTACTGCTTTTTCCTCTTTTACAACCTTACCCAAAAAGAACCCATTTCAATCGGCCCTCCATTACCGATTTTGATTAAGAAACCGTAAAATATGATAGCCCCCACTAAACTTGCCCTCCAGCTCTCTAAGCCTGTTTCAGAGAGTCTATCAGATGCAAATAACATTATCACTAGAACCTTCTGCCACGAAGTCCCCGAAAACAAGGTTGAAACTCGTTCAAAGTCAAATTCGTCAAACGATCCCAACCACTTCCTTGTTTGTTCAGGACTCAAGGTGAAGAAACCCTTTCTCTTCAGGCAATCTTTGGCTGGTAAGCCTCATTGTGATCTCCAGATGGTACTTTCCAACGCCAAACTTAATGAACAAGGAGGTTCACAGCTCCATCGAGTAAGCAGGATTCAAAGGCAAGAGCAGAGGAAAAAGACTCTTCTTGCCAAAAGGCTAGTCGGGTGCTGGGGTTGTACCTTCAAGAATTTGAATAGCCAATATGTGGGAGCAAAAAATCAAGCGCTAGCTCTATTGCAGACTCCTACTGATCATATGGCATTGGTCAGATCGAATCAGCAGTACGACTTCATTCGTCTCTTCAAGCTCTTCGAATACTACCACACTTACTGGAAGCACATTTCTTCTGTTTCTGAGGTGATCGAAAAGAGCCAAACTTTCACTGCACCAGTTACTCAGTGTGTGCTTGTGGGAACGAAGATTGTGGTAAGGGTGCCATGCCTTGGGGACCAGCTTCCATAGCATCAAATTGCACCCATCTTGGCTTTCATACATTAATTGGAAGAAATTGTCTTCAAAAGTATATTTCTGATAGAATCTCAGTAGATACAGCCATTGCAATAGTAACCCATTCACCTCCAGAAGTCAAGGTCTATAAATGGTCAACCCTCAACAAGCACAAAATATGCCCAATTGACTTTTCTTCTACAAACTCCATCCATCAATGCAAATCTTTATAGTGTCTATACCCCGGTCCAGTAGGCCTCTTATCAGACCTCCTCGCGATTTGCACCCATTCCTCCACATTCGCACTATCAACTACCTTCCTCTTTAGCATGCTAGTATGTGATTACGCCACCAAGCCACCAGCTTATACTAACAACAGTTTAAACCTTGGGCCGAAACGCCTAATCCACGTCACACATTCGACGACGAGCCAGATTCGCCACCATTAGTGCCGGAGGTCACGAAATCCTTGACCACATCAGATCTACCAGAGACCATCGTGATCGTGCCCAAGAACATTGGCGTGGTTCTCGAATTAGTGCCCAACAAGAATGTCGTGGGCCATATTGCCGTGGAGTATCCGCAATTGAAGGACATCGTGCCCAACGAGGAGTACGACGAAGACTCCCAGCTCTACTCCGCTGTCAACCTTGAAGCGCTAGGGCGAAAATTCAAGGCCGAGCAGATCCCCATTTACTCATTTGGAGAAAGCGGCTCTGGCTTTGCCATTATCGTCCCCCACTTCATGAACCCCATTGCGGAAAACAAGGTTGCCAGCGAAATCATCAAATTGGGCACCACCATCACATCATGGATTGCATTGGCGCCTTCGCCACTCAATAACGGAACCTCGCTATGCAGACTAGACATTGCCCTGTCGGTTGATGCATTCAAGCAGGTTCCAACCATCAAGCCTCCTCATTACACAACGGGCATAGTTGCAGCGGTGACTTCTCGTTTATTCCAGACCCGCCAATTGGGCAATGCTAATGTTTTGGTGCTCAATGCAGAGGGCCACCTGGGTTTTGAGAAGGTTGACGCTGACCTGGTCATGGACGCTGCAGAACTCATAGGTGGCTACCTTGTGGGCAAGCAGGGGAAAGCCAGTTATATCAAGCAGCTCAGTGCACATGTCCGTAAGATCAACTCGGGACTAACACTGGGCATGTACTTGTGAGACCAGAGTAGGAGAACGAAGATGTTTCTGGTCTCCGGTAGCATCCATGGTTGTACGTATGAACGGAATTGATGCAAATAACGTCGTAGCAGTGTAGAAGGGCACACTTATTGTCCAGTTGAATACCCGTGTGTCTACGACTGGGAGTTCCTCATGGAAAGGAAACAGTTCCAAAGCACGGAAATCGAGGAGGAAAACGGAACCTGAAGCAGACGGGGCACCAACAAAAAGTTGATAAACTGCACTGGAAACCAAACACTGTAGTTGATCATGAGCGTCTTGAGGTAGATCTTCTTGAGCTTCTCGGTGGCATCATCCCAGGAGCCGTTATCCAACACCATGGTACCGTAGACAAAGAAGCAAAAGAGCGAAACTGGCGAATACAAAAACTGATCGCTGAGCACCTTCCGGATAACCTCAACTACCTTAGGATCCTTGGAGTAAATCTGCAAGAACTTATACCAGAAGCACTGCGCCATTCCCATGATAAAGCCCCAGCACATGAATCCAGCGAGTCTGCTGAACAGAAAATAGGTCAACTGAGGACCCAAAAACGCCGGAGTTATTCCCTCACTTTGTACTTCTTCACCATCTAGATATTGCAAAAACTCCGTGACGTGTTCCTCTCGGAGCAGCTCGGTATCGTTATCCGGATCGTCGTCTTCAAAAGTGTTTCCCAATTCTGCCTCTATATCGTACGACGGCTCGTTAACGGTAACAGAAAACTGCTCAGCCAGGCCTCTATAGCTAAGAAGCGATTGTGCCAATGTCTCGGAAATGCCGTAAAGCACCAAGTTGGTCACTATAATCGTGACCAAGGAGCTCTTCATGTACAAGTCGTTGTACTTTGTTGTGAGTTTGAGGAGAAACGACCCGAGCACGGAGATTATCACGACATTAAGAACAGGCACATTGTGTATTCGTGGTGCATTAATGACCCTGGTGAAAAGGGATCGTGGAGACAGTGTAGCCATGAAGAAGAGTAGTTGGTGATAAGCGATAAGCAGCAGTGCAGGACAGGTTCAGTTGAGTAGGTGGAGATGTCACGGATGTAGAGGTTTATAGCCCATTGGGGTAATTCCAGGGAATGGAAAGTTTTCAAGGATGATGAGGAAAATAGAATGGTTGCTCTTTTGAAGTGGAGAGGCGTTTTGGATAGGGTACTTCGTTGCGAGAGGGTCCAAGTGTGGAGGATGAGGATAGAGGTGGGTGGTTGTATTTTGAAGATTTTATAAGGTGTAGCTTATTTTGAAGGGCATTAATAAAATGAACAAACAATGAATGATTTTTCATTCTTCAGGATTTTGGTGAAAATGGTGTGGTTTAAGCTCATGCGGAATTGTGCTTGCGAGTACCGACTGTAAGGCTTGTAAGGCTATTGATTTCGAAAAGAAGAAATGGGATTTGAATGATATCTATTTGTAATAAGAAAACTCTAGCCTAGGTTTGAGATTATCACTTCAAACGAATTCAAAAGTTTTGATGTTCGTTACGTTTTGGACTATTAATGAAAACCAGCTGGAGGCTGCGAAATACACCAAGGAATACGAAAGCAAAAAGATTATTGAAATGTAGCAAATCTCGCAAACTTCCATGAACCAACGATACCAATTTCACATATAATGGCAACAAACGGAATTGAAAAAGCTCACAAAACCCTGGGATAAAGGAAATACAGTCGATTTGACGAGCATTGTAGTCACAATACGGACCCACGTTCACACCACTCAGGTCAGTTCAACACATCACTTCTGAAGCAAACAGATAAATTGGCAGCCTGACCAGCCAAAACTATGTATACCCAAATCCATATTCCAACTTTTGAATTCATTATTCGATTTACTTCAAAACCTCTTCACCATCTCTTCCTCGTCACCCTCAGCTGGCTGCGAAACCACCATAAGTCACCCAGCACACCTACAATTCATCCCATGAACAAGGACACACCCTCTGGAATGATACTATTTCAATAAATTACTATCACGATCCCAAATTCCGCCTCCCCACGGCACCTTCACCACTTTTTCAACTTTTGCAACCACGGCACGTGACCGGTCTGCGCACGCACCCAATCATATCGTGAGAAAATCAACACCCATAATCAACCATCAATCGCCATGTCTTACAACAAAGCCTACGAGCCCGTCAGAGGCGACGTTGCCCAGTCGGACTATGAGCTCATTGACTCGGACCCTTACTACACCAGAGTCATCTCGTACTTCAGAGCTTCCGACATCGCAGTCTGGGGTGCTACTACTGCAGCTTTCCCAGTGGGTCTTGTGGCCTGGGAGAAATTGGAGCCTGTGGCCGGTGCTTTCAAAAAACCAGGCAAGGTGCCTGCTCCAGCTTTGAGAGCTGCCACGTTGATGGGCTTTTTCGGAGGATTCTACCTTGCGTACATCAGATCCAGTAAAAGATTCTTGGGCTGGTCTGAAAACGCCAGAGAGGTCAAGAAGGACAGATACGAAATCAAGAAGTTGTTGCTGGAGGAGAAGTTGCCATACCACCAGAACGAGTCTGTGTTGGACGACAGAATGAAGGATATCGCCAACAGAAACTCGCAGTACTCCTTCACTGCATTGTTCATTCTTCCCTGGTTCAACATGGCCCACCACCCATACCACGGTGTTGACATCAAGAAGTACTACGAGAACCGTGAGGGCGAGGAGAGCTGGGGCTTCAACTTGAAGCCTTACGAGGAGATTGTTGCCAAGTACACCAAGACGGTGGAGTAAATCAGGATTGAGGATAGATGAAAACCGTGGTCGGCCTGTCACCTGGCCACACCGGGCGCTGCCCGTTATGTCACATACAGACGAGCTTAGCTTGTAATAACGACGTTGCATTGACCAATTGTAGGAGACGAAGGTACTGTGGATACTGTTTTCAAAGTTAAAAGCTGCTTAAGGCTGCTTAGGGTAGAAAGTTCTGGAATGAAATAATTTGAGAAACTCATTTCATTTTCATTTCAACAAGTTTGTCAACTTTCGCCTGATGAGATGGTTATGTGAGACTAATCTACCACACCAAAAGCTGAACCAAACACTCAAATAAGCCTACTCACATCTAATTTAGCTTTCTTTATCTCTTCCCAATTAGTTTTTTAAATTTCTTTCAAAAAAATCCCTCTCTTCTGCTGCATTTCCAGTGGAATACCTCTTTTGTTTGCAGCCAACCTGCATGCGCGGGTGTTTGTTTACCCCAAGATCACCACTACCAACTACTACCTTCAGTATGGCAGACGAAGAGGACTATACAAATCTCCCCGTCGAGGAAAAAATCGTCCATAAAGTATGGAAGGTCAGACAAGACGGCTACACCGCGCTTAATGATCAATTTACCAAATCGAGAGGTCCAGACGACTCCTGTTTTTCCATATTCAGCCAGAAGCCCGAACTCGTCAAACAAATCGTGACCGACTCCAATGTTGTGGCACAAGAAGCTGCTCTACAGGCAGTCTGTCTGTTTTTTGAATTTGGCGGTAACGGGAATAATGCTGCTAAATTGAGGAACGCTGGTCTTATAACTAGTCTATGTGAGAAGGGTCTTTCTTCAAACAGAGCAGGTACGAAAGCAAAGGCTGTGGACGCTCTTTTGTGGATAGTGGAGCTCACCAATAGCGGAGACGCTGTCATTGAACAAATTGTGCCGTTTTTTGACAACAGACTTCCCAAACTCGTGGCTGCTTCTGTGAATGCAGTGTACTCAATAATCGAACAGTTTGGCTGCCAGGTGGCGTCTCCAAAGCCTGTTATTCCAAAACTCGCAAAGCTTTTCTCTCATGCTGATAAAAACGTCCGTGCTCAAGCAACTACACTCACAGTCGAAATCTACAAGTGGATGGGACAAGGTCTCACGCTGGTGCTCATGGACAGCTTAAGACCGGTGCAACAGAAGGACCTCCAGGCTGATTTTGAAAAGGTTGTAGGAGACAAACCCACACAAAAGCGTCTTACGAAGAAGCAACAAGAAGAGTTGGCTCAGCAGAGTAAGAACGAGAATGAGGACGTTGATATGGATGCAGAAAACACACCGGAGAACGGGGCAGCGCCAGCTGAGGAGTTTGATCCATTCCTGATGTTGGAGCCAGTGGAGGTACTCCTGAAACTACCGCTGAACTTGCACAGCTCAATGGCTTCCGCTAAGTGGAAGGACCGTAAGGAAGCCCTTGACGAAGTTCATGCTGTTCTTTCCAAGGCCCCAAAACTCGCCAACGACGACTATACTGACTTGGTTCGTATTTTTGCCAAGTGTATGAAAGACGCCAACATCCAGGTGGTTCAGCTAGCTGCTAACGGAATTGAATTCTTGTCCAAGGGTCTCAAGGAGGGTTTCCACAAGTATCAACATTTAGTTGTGGGACCAATGATCGACAGGAACAAAGAGAGGAAACCAGCAGTGACAGAGGCGCTAGGTAACGCACTTGACTCCATCTACCAATCGTCTTCTTTAGGCGACGTCCTTGACGAAACGCTCAATGGTATGAAGCACAGAACACCCCAAGTCAAGATTTCGGCAACCGACTACCTACGTCGTTGTTTGGCCAATGCCACTGTTCCTCCAAAACGCTCACAAATTGATGCCATAATGGAAGTCGGTGTGAAACTTCTAAGTGAGTCTCAGGAGACTATAAGACAGGCTGCTACAGACATGATAGGTACATTGATGAAGATCACCGGAGAAAGAGAGCTTCAGGGATTTTTGGAGAAAGTGGACGAGAACAGATTGGCCAAGGTCAAAGCTGCTCACGATAAGGCAGAGGTCAAAACCACAGCTAGTGCTGCCCTGCCACAACGGAAACAGCCTCAGCAGCCATCACGTTTGGCTACAAGCTCTACCAGTAAGATTTCTCTGGTCCCACCTCTCCGAAAGCCTACTTCATCTCAAGCTATTCCTTCAAAACGTGGTGCTACGTCTCCTGCCAAAAAGCCCGAGACAACGAAGCTCCCGTCTTCTGTGAGAAGTCTCACCGGTCGTCTGTTGGTGTCGTCTTCAACAAGACCAACCCCCAGTGCACCAGAGCCTGTTCAAAAGGGGCCTTCAATCGACGCCGAACAGCTCCGTGAGCTTGGATCTCTCAGGAAGGAGAAACAGGAGCTTTTGGCTCACACAAAGAGGCTTGTTGAGTCACAAAGCCAATGGGAGAGAGAGAGGGAGCAGTGTTACGAGCAGATGAGACAGCTTCAGGCTCAGCTTGAGACTCTTCAGGACGACAATGCCGCCAAACGTCAGGAGGTGATTGACAAGGACGCTGAGATCCTTCATCACAAGAACGAAGCAGGAAATGCTAAGCTAAAGATCCTCAGTATGGAACAGGTTATTGCCATGTTGAAGCTCAACCCAACTGGCAACCCAGACTCGTTGATTGAAGAGAGGAGATCCGACCCACCACAGCCATTATTCTCGCCCACAAGAACGGTAGAGCTTCAGGGCGAGGAGTCAAGAGGCACTAATAATGAGCTTAGCTCCCGTGTGGACCGTCTTTCTATTGATGGACATAATGCTTCAGGTTTCCAAGAACCAAAACAAAACTACCCTAGTCCGAAAAAGGCCGAGCTCACGCGTCATACAAGCAGTTACAGCACCTCCAGTTCCAAGGAGAATGTTTCTGAAGAAGACAACTGGAAGAAGGCCGCTGAAGTCACTGCTCAGTTGAAGGCTAGAATTGAGAAGATGAAGCAGAGAAACAGACTCTCCTTAAACAGGCCTTAGACTATGGGCTCAGCAGGAATTTAATGAAGGGTACTAGTACCGTCCCTCGACCGACATTCGCTAATATGGGTAATGACAAAAATGACAAGGTTGCTTTCAGACGACAAACAACAATCTGAAAGAGACAGACTGTGACAACAAAACGAAAAAAATTGAGTCACAAAACCACCACCCCGGAGCTTTGCTTCAAAAGGACTCATGGTGGTGGTGAGTAATATGTAGGTCGGACACACCGATTATCGATCTCGGGTTGGAAAAAAAGCGAGTGAGCGATAGCCAAACAACTGAAGTCCAGCGCCAAACAGGACGTTCATAACGATTGTCTGCAGCGAGAATGTCTACAAAGTTGAAGATTTTGGTCCCTGTCAAGAGGGTCATTGATTTCGCCATCAAGCCTAGAATCAACAAGGCCGGTACCGGCGTTGAGAAGAAGGGTGTGAAGTTCAGCATCAACCCTTTCTGTGACATTGCATTGGAGGAATCCTTGAAGCTCAGAGAGGCCAACAAGGGCTTGGTTGAGAAAATCCACGCCGTTTCCATTGGTCCCACCAAGGCTCAGGATATCTTGAGAACGGCACTTGCTAAAGGTGCTGATACCACCACGTTAGTGGATGTTGGTGAAGAGGAGGTTGAGCCTTTGAATGTGGCCAAGATCTTGCAGAAGGTTGTTGAAAAAGAGCAGTCCAACTTGGTCATCTTGGGTAAGCAGTCCATTGACGATGACGCCAACCAGACCGGTCAGATCTTGGCTGGTTTGTTGAACTGGCCCCAGGCCACCAACGCCTCCAAGGTTGAGGTTTCTGGCGACGAAGTCAGCGTGACCAGAGAGGTGGACGGCGGTGCCGACACACTCAAGGCCAAGTTGCCCATGATCGTGACGACCGATTTGAGATTGAACGAGCCTCGTTACGCCTCGTTGCCCAACATCATGAAGGCCAAGAAGAAGCCATTGGAGAAGTTGAAGGCCAGCGATTTGGGCGTGGAGATCGCCAGCCGTTTGGAGACGTTGAAGGTGGAAGAGCCACCTGCCCGTGCACCAGGTGTGAAGGTTGAAAACGTGGACGAGTTGGTCGCCAAGCTCCGGGACGCCAAGGCCATTTAGGCGAGGTTATAGATAATCGACGGTAGATACGAGGAGGCGGTGTAGAAAGATGGGTTGATGATTGATAGTGCAGAGACCGTAATCTGTGAAGACAATGGGATTGAATACTATTAAAGAGTGAAGTTTGCTATGGTTTTTTAGAGAACAATGACAATCGCATGCTTCATGATTCGGGTGGTTATGTATTAGTTCATAAGTAGAGGGCTGATTAGGGATTGAGATCAGATACGAGTAGCACCATCATCCAGCTTCACGGTCCATTCTGTCAATTGAGTCAGATTAGTCGATTGAGAGACAATTACAAGGAGTTTTGATCATAAGAGAAATGAAAAGAAGATGAATGAAAAGAAAAAACTATTCAAGCATCTTCAATGGTAGGTTTAACACCATTTGGTGCATTTTAGCAGCCATTATAGTCCACCACCCTAACATTCACACTGCCAATTGAGTACCTTCAAAGAGCTAAAACCCAATCCTTTTACCAATAGAAGCAATTTCAACCAATTTTCATCAACTCCAAAAAACGAAAAACAGCCACCACCCCGGAATTTCCACCCTATATAAGGTGCGCGGAACTACCCCACAATATCACCATGAGCACCCAGGTAGCCAAATACATAGACCAGCTTTTGACCAAGCCATACCTGAAACCACTCATTGTGGGCATCAGCGGGCCCCAGGGCCTGGGCAAGTCATACATGGTCTCCCATCTTCTTGAACATTACAGATCCACGCAGCCTAACTTGGCAGTGGCTGGGTTTCTGGTGGACGATTTCTACCTTCCTAGAAAACAGCAGGAGGAGGTCACCGAGAAGGCTAAATCGGAAGAAAATGAAGTTCTTCAGGGCCGAGGTCTTCCAGGAACACACGATGTGCCGTTTTTGCTTGATGTGTTCAAAAAGCTCAAAGCTCAAGAACCAGTGAAGATTCCTCGTTACGATAAGAGTGCTTTTTCTGGAAAGGGCGACAGGGCGCCGGAGGACACGTGGCAGTCTTTCAAAAACGTCGATTTGGTCATCATGGAGGGGTGGTTCAACGGGTACAGAGCTCTAGAGCCTGGGCTCTTCTCTACAGCATACTTTGGCCAATGGCCTTCGAGCATAGTGCAAAAGCATAAGTTCTACCATCTTCAGGAGGTGAACGAGGAGCTTGCAAAATTCAACCCCGTCTGGGACGCCTTCGACTACTTTGTCTTTTTGGATACAGATTCCACTGATAGTGTGTACGCATGGAGGCAGGAGCAGGAGGAGGAATTGAAGAGATTAAAGGGATCTGGCATGACGAAGGAGCAGGTCGTGGCGTTTGTGGACCGGTACATGCCGATGTACGTTTTGTACTACTGGCGGTTGTGTCGAGGAGGAACACTTACCAAGGGCCGGAACCTCAGGATGAGGATTAACGAAAAGAGGGAGGTTCTCGGGATCGAAGTTGTCTAAGGGATTGGCACTTGATCGGCTGGAGAGGGTTTCGAACATTTGTCGATGACGGTGACCTAAAGGATCATCGAAGAGTACTCATTGAATTACTATAATGCCTCAATTTGCTTGTCATGGTCAATTATCGTCAAGCGTTGGCATCTACATACATTGACTCAGTCGGTAAAACGGCGTTAATTGAATCTCATGGCTTCATCTCATCAATTGAGTAGGAAATTGCATAAGTAGACTAGACTCCAATCCCATATCGTCCTACACCGTATACCTCTCACATCCACTTCACCATCACCCCTCCTACAACCAACTTCTCTTTTCTTGATTTGTATATACCACGAACCACGGCCCTCTAGCAGCCCCGGCCTCACTTTTGGTAATCCTCAGGGTAGAAGATCAAGCGCTCCACACCTGCCTCCGTCAAAATCACCATTCTCACCACTCCGCCCGACGAGCCGTCCCACTTGATGGCCTCGCCCAACGCCGTCTTGATGAACGCCACGCACTCGTCCTTCTCCATGTCTGGCTTGTAGTTCTCGTCACACCATCCATAGATAAACGTCGAACCAGAACCGGCAATGGCGTACTGCTGCTCGTGGATAGAGCCGCCAATGGGCACAGAAAACACCTTGCCCTTGTTCTTCTTGTCGTATCCTGCGCAGATGATGCCCGCCGTCAAGTTGTCCTTGTTGTTGTAGCAGAGTTCCTGGAAAACACTGGCAGCGACCTTGGTGGTGGGTTTTTCACCCGGTGGCAACTGACTGGCGTAAACCTGCAAGTGGTATTTCACAATGTCGGCCACAGCCTGGGTGTCGGCAGCAGAGCCAGAACGACAACAGTAGATGGTGTCGTGGATCTGGGTCAACTTGTCTGAGACTCTGTTGGCGATGTAGGTGCCGGTGGTTGTTCTGGAGTCAGCTCCGAGAATGAC